ACATAAATAAAAAAATATAAAAGTAGCATAGCCGAAAATTGACGAATTTAAAAGATAGTTTAATCTTAATTTTATGTAGAATATATCGCATTAAAGATGAGAAAAATAAACTCTAGAATCCGACGTTATATTCTCATTTTTGTTTTTCACAATATGAGATTTTTATGTTCAATATTGAATTTATTTAATATTTTTTCGAATTCGATATGTATATAAGGAAAGAAATATTTCTAAAAATACTGCAATTGCAAAAGGCACGTGTATTATTTGTAATAAAAGTATAATCATTATATTCGGATAATCGGCATATCATCCATTTTGAATCTTTCATCTTCTTTCTCTTACATTTTTTTTTCTTTAACTTCAACTGAAAGAAACAATATAACTTGTTATTTTTACGTGAATCACTTTGTACAATCATCTAAATTTTACGCATATCTTTTTCAAATTTATTGCAAATTTGATGTATATAATCATGATAGTCGTATCTTATAGTTAATGAAATGATAATGTTTTATGTATATAACACATGTAATATATTCAGTTCTTATAAGTTTTTATATTTGAATATAACCGCGTAATTCACGTAAAACACCATCTGATATTTAAAGAACTTAAAATTGAACAAATAAATTCGACTCTGAACAAATATTTACACTGCAACATTTTAATTCAAATTTCTCCTGAAGTAATGATTTTTCGGTACAAATGGTTTAATACTTTTTTATAAAGAATGATAAGCTCAATCGATTAGTGTATTAAAAAATATACGACTTCACTTAACAAATTTTACTTTTATGCATGCACATTAAAATATGATAATTGCATCAATTAATGCCCTCTTGAAACCATTCAACTTTTTGTCTGAAACATTTTTGGATATAATTAATCGTTTGAAAAATATTTCAGCTTTTGGTCTTAGGTGACCAAAACTCCGTGACTTTCGTAAGCAACTGTATTTTCAAAATGTGGTAAATAATCTGAAAAAAATTAAAAACTTGTATCGTATAATGAGTTATTTGTGTCATTGTTGAAGAAACTATCATTTTCATTTAAATATTTTGTTCAATTATCGAAAAAGATGTGCAAACTTTTTACAAAGAAAGATCGATATTCCTTTCGGCTATATTTATAGAACTTTTTAACGTCAGTATTAAATCAAATTTTCATGGAAAATACGTACCGCTGGTTTGACAGCGCTAATTATAAGAAAAGTAAATTTTTGAAGAAATCGATTTAAAATAGGAAATGTGAAATAAAGTTTGAAATATCAATTAATAAAGTTATCAATTTGAAATTTGAAAATAAAAAGTTATCAATTCTTTGGATGCTTAAAGTTACCTAAAAAGCCTAAAAATTTAATACTGTACAAGGAGCATGCAATAAATTAAGATTTATCTTTATACTTTTGATATATTCATTCAGTATGTTATCCCTAATAGATAAATCAATTATTTTATTATTGATTATAAGACAATCTTTGAGTAAACACTCAAAAGATTAATTACTAAGCTGTTTAATAGTAAAAAAATTTGGTTCCTATAATTTAGCTATTGTTAGTATTGGAAAGTATTGGAAAATATTGATCTATAAATTGCTATAACATTATTGCTATAACATTATATTATGTATCGCTTACTATTAAGAAAAGAAAACCCAAAAATTTTCATCTTTTCTAGTTTTTATAGTTTTTTGTTTGTATAAATCTGAGATAGTTTTTTTGAAAAAACATCGTACAATTTTTTTTTTTTTTTGTTATTTTGGGTAATTTTAGGTAATGTTTGTGTTATTAAAATGAAATTAAAATTATTTATTTTCATTTCCAATAAAAAACATTGACACTGTAATTGACCTCACTAGGGGTAATCTCATTCACTAGAAGTAAAATCGACCTTGAAGAATAACAAAATACGTAGTATAATGAATGAGAAAATTAATTAACATGTCTTCTTTCTTCAATTTTCTGCAAATATTTTTTTTTGCAATTATAGATTTTCTATAATTCTAATTAGAATTATTTTTTATAAAAGACGCTCATCCACAGGCTTCTTATCCATATAAAAAAATTTATTTAGTTATGTTTGATTAAGGGCAACGACTTATTCGTTTTTTCGTGTTAGCAAGAAGTTCTAATGTCTGCCATGCTCTGACACGATCAGTTTTCTTTCCCAATCACTATCAATCCGCGTGCCTGTTTAATGTCCTCTAAAAACGATTAACATCGATCGTCCTATTGATGTTTAATAATTTCATCGTTTTTAGAAGAATTATTCTAGGGCAGAATCAAACGGTTCGCGCTTCAAGATGATTGGCCAGCACTCATCACATTCGTATAAAGCTGACCCGCCATTAGTGGGGAAGTCAGTGCGATGTTCAATTAAATATAAGTGCGATGTATTGATCCATTACAAATCAGTCAGTGCAACATTAAATATAATAATAGTGCGAATCAAATGAATTAGTGCGACTTTTGACACGACAAAATCAATCAATGCGACGTGGTAATCAATTAAAGCGACCGATTGGTATGACTACCAAATATAAATCATTCACAAGTGTAAGTGTGACAAAAATCTGATTATAAATTATACAGGTCTCTCATCATGATTTTCGATCTCCTATCGAATCGTTTCATTTTGTTTCTATTTTTGCTATAATTTATCCACACAATGGCTATCCGCCTTAAAATTCAAACGTTTCGAACCGGATCCATACTGCTTCGTCCATCGAGCCAAAACAATTTTCGTACTTGAAAGCATCTCTCATTAAGCCAATGACTATAGCTTACACATTGTAATATTAATCTAGCTTTTTGAAATTTTAAAAAAATAGTTGTCTACATCTTTCAAAGAATTAGTACTTTCTCTCATAGATAGCAGGCATTTTACATTAATTTGTAATAATAATGACCCAATATTATCTTGTATGTTACAATAAAGTTGTTAGAAAAAATTAAATCGATAAATTACACTCTATTTTAATTATAATCTTTTTTCAAGTATGTTGTAACAAAATGATTAAAAAAAAGTCTCATCAAAATCCAAGGTGAAGTCAAGTTCACTTACGTTTTAAATAAATAGTTCAGTGATAAAATATAAACCACTCAATGGTTATAAATTTACCAAATTTCACTAAAAATTTCATAATTTTAAAGCACTTCTAAGTCAGTCTGTAAACTCACGAATATCTCATATTATTTGCAAACTTCATTTTAAGCATCGTAAAGATTATGCATACTCGGTTCTTGTTTTAAGCAGGCGTCGCGTGTTTGATAATGGCGGTGTAAATCAAACATAACCTTCTTATAAGAAATAAAAAAAAAAAAAATTGGAAGACATAACAGAGAACGATCATTTCAAACGTGCATATAATAATCTATCCTTGTCGTTTTATTTCTCAAGGTATATAAGGTACAAGGTATATGATAATCTTAACGAAAGTACCTACTATAAAAACAGAGAACGACAGTCAACTATAAATTTTCGTAAACAGATTTATAACAAGAGCGAATGCAGTGATATTGGCATCGATCGCATCTGTTGAAATACATCATGCACAATCTACAGTGTAGATTAAGCTATTCGATATTTTATATTTTACGGCATAAGAACCATTAAAAACGTTTATCTCAAAAATATCCTAAAATTATCTGACTGAACTTAAATCTATCGCAATTATCTGGGCCCTAACAAAATTAGTTGAGAATGTTAATCTTTAAAAGATCGGTGAAGTCACTAGGCTTTGAGTAAGCATACGATTACAATAATAATCATTTAAGGTATAAAGTTAAATAGATAAAAGCAGAGTATGTCTCTCTGCATATCGTAAAATTTCATGATTTTTTAAATATGAGTGTTTCTACTTAAGCCGGATACATTGCATATTTGTTTGTATAGGTTAGCTA